GGGAGAGAAGGCGGCGCGGCGGGGGGGGGGGGGGGGGTGGTGTGTGTGGTGTTGGTGCGTGCGTTCTTCTGTCCCTTGGTGGGGGACAGATGAACAGATGTCAATTAATAACTAGTTTGAAATAGTTATCACCAAACTGACAGTAGCATGATGATGGTAGCAGTGTTATTTACTGTTAACGTAGAGCAATGTATGGATTGACCTCAACCAAGAAGGTCTCTTAAATTGAAAGATGCATTTATGGTGGCTTTCTAATATAAAAGACAAGATATATTCACAGAAGACAGCTAGAGATAAAAATATACATATTATAAAAACATTTAATACTTCTAAAAGATTTATATTTCATTAAAGTTTCAAAGCTGCAAAGAAATTGAATTCTACCACTATCATGCCCTTAGCAGTAGTAGTAAAAGACACACGAGGAAATTCCCGTAGTCTACACTGCTGTTATAGCCAACTCCAAACTTAATTTAGGATCAACAGGTAGTTCAAATGATGCAGGAAACAGCTAAAGACCCATCTGGCAAGAGGAGAAAAAAGGACTTTTAAAATGGGAACACACAGACTACTTTTTCCGTATGGTTCTATAAGTAAGTAAAGAAATGAAAAATATCCAAGAGCATCAAATTCTGACACACAAATTCTCTTACCGTCCTTTACTGTTTCCTTTGTCAAGCTCCTTCCATAGTGCTGGTTTTGTGTCTCATAGCTGTCAGAAGAGATGTGGTAAACCTAAAGAAACAAGGAGGTAACTCTGTACTTATTTCCAACAACCAGTATTTAACCAATATTTCTGCAGAGCTGCAAGAGACCTTACAGACAGGTTAACAAAATCTCTGGTACCATTTAGCCCTCGCATATGCAGCGGTCAGCACTGCCCTCTAGTGCAAAATCCTCCTCCTTCACATCTTGGGGTCTAAGCTACAGCTTTCCTGCCTTAGAAAGACATCATTATGTTGGCAAAAAGCAACACATCCGCTACAGGAAAACATTTTATATGGCACCTGCCTTGCAAATCAATGCCAAGACTTGAAACTGGCGTACTCCCCATACTCCTACCCATGTTACCCAGTAAGACAAAGCTAAAAAATTCAATGCAACAATTTTGCAATTCTTAAAACTAAAAAAATATTTAGCACAACAGCAAAACAGTAAGAAATACTATGATATGACCATCTGAAACTAACTGTTGGCATAAATGGGGTTGTACTAAATAAATGACAGCAGCTGAATGAAAGCTCGGTTCCAGCCTTGATAGCCGTACATCAGCTCTCGCCTGAAAGGGAGGCAACTCATACGGGTACAGTTTTGTCCATATCAGGAATTGTACAAGCTTAACAACTTAATTCAAAAAACATTTTATAGAGACACATTTTCTCTCTAACTGAAATAATTTCCATAGTAGAAACGTGCCAGCCAGCCAGGCCCGAGTATAATTTGTTTATGAGAGTGCAGACAATTCTTATTTGCAGAAATAATGGTGTTACCAAGCAGGCAGTTGTCTCTGGCAGAAAATTCATGCTTGGCACTCGTTCAGACCACCCAACCCTGCGGCACCCATCCCGGCTGCGGCACTCTGCCCTCCCTTCACCCGCTGTAAAAAGAGAGGATCCCACGGGAAACAAGCTGGGGCGCACCGGTGAGGCGTCTGCCCCTCATCTCTCCTTTGGGGTCTTTTTCTTGCTGTAGCCCACAGAGAAAGTCCATGACAGTGAAACATCAGCACATAAAAAGGAATGGGAGATGAGCAATATTTAAAAAAAAATAAGAATTCCCTGTTTTCATTGCAGCCCCCCACCCCAAAACCTCTCTCCCCCATCCAAACCACAACAAGCACAGTATGAAAACACAGGTCCATAACTCTTGCTTCACAAAATACGTGGGAAAAGTCTCAAATAGCTCTTCTTTTGACAAAAAGATAGAAGTAATTAAATTCAGGGTTCCCAAGGAACTTAAATCATAGCATGTGGAAATTGATTTAAGTCATCGACCATGAATTGAAGGGGCAGTAAATAATTCTGGTTATTCTAAAGAAATAACAGTTGTAAGCCTGAAGGTTTAAACTCATTTAGCAGCAGAGACACTTCCCACTGTTCCGATTCCTATTTCCACTTTATGATACTTACAGAAACGGAGGCCCTGATGGCTCTGAATTGCAGAAGAGTGTAGCAGAGGTGAGTTATTCTAATGCAGCAGCTGACAAGTGTGATTTTGGTTTCACGAAAGCAATCATTTTACACCACTTTTTTTCCCCCCCCAAAGCACATAGAAGAGGTACAGCATACAATGTATGAACCCAGAGATTACTTATATAAATACTTCAGGTACCAAAGTTAGTTTCAAAAACATACAAAAAGTTTCAAAAACTTTTTCATTTTAAAGAGCCAGAAGCCAAAGGTAATTAAATAAAGCAAGAATAAATTAAAAAAAAAAAAATACTGCTTAGGAAGAGGATCAAGAGTCTGACAACTGCTTCAAGTTTCCACTAGCTGTGTCGTCATTTTAATAATATTGAACATTCTTGTTTCAGCTTCCTCCATACACCAGCACTGCAGCACGCTCCTGAAAGAATAATCTTGTTTACCAGAACCTTATCTCTTCCCCGTAGGAGCTAACAGTTTTAGTGACATGGGCACTTGCTCAAAAATGCTGATTAAGATCTGCAAGCTCATTTTGTTTTCCAAAGAAATGCTGGAGCAGCACATAAGCCCCCTGTTCTTCTGAGCTGGGTTCCCTGTGAAACCACCCTACCTCTGCTCATAATTTGCACAAAACCATTCCCCCCCCAAACAGCTTTTTATATAGTTGAAAAATACCCAGGCAGGTGGGCACGTTTTGCATTAACAGTGCATTTACCAACAGTGTAATGTATATAGTTAACTATCTTGGGAACAAGCAAAGACTCAGAGCACCCTTGGTTACCAAGGGGCTTGGCTGCAGACAATGGCATTAAAGGACAACATATGTAGGGAATCATGAAAGCATTCTCCATGTTAGCTGAAGAGCTGTCTCTTAGTACTGCTTCAAGTCTTTTCTCAATGGCAAGGAAGCGATTGTTCGAAACATTCCTGGAAAACCTCAAATATAAATACGCTAAGCCCCATACCGAAAGCAGAGAAACAGAACCCTAAGTTCAAACAGAGATAATCTTTCATCGGTTCTTGCTTGCACCCTCGCCTACCCCCCAAAAACTACGTGCTGTAGTAGGAGAAGACTAAATCAACTTCGTAGTCTACAGACCTCTTGCTTCACCATGCTTTTGTTCATGCTGTCACCGCTAGTAATCTGCTACTCACCCTTCCCAAAAGGGCATTTCCCTTTGAACCAATCTTTTTCTGCATCCCTGTTGTTGCAGCTGTCTGTACCAGCCCACTTCTGTCAAAAGGATGACAAGTCAAATAAGTCAAATCTGTAACCTCAACAATGGCCGAGAAATGATTAGACAGGAAAATCTCATTTCTTGTCCACTTGCCACAGCTCGTTACGCGTTTGCTCTGTATTCACATTGAGTTTCACTGTGTGGTGCAAGACAAAGAAAACTCCTTCTATGATCTGCAAAGCATTGCCTTCAAGAAAACTCCTGCTTTGGTGATTTTTGTATGTTCTTACCACACCAGATCAGAGCTGTTTGGACTGACAACGTGCAGGCTCTTCCTTGTGCCGACAAGCAGCCCCCATTTGGTGAAGTCTCTGCATAAACAGGGCTGGAATCCGGCACGCCAACAGCTTCAGTTTTTTAATGAAGAGTAGTAGGGACTCAGTATGGGCAGCACGTCAGAAGATCCAGATGATTAACTGTCGAGGGAAATTATCTTTGGACTTTCTCAACCTGCACTTGGCTTTTGTTTTCCCACGAGGCGTTACGTTATTGCTGCTTGCATAGGCACACGGATTTTTGTACCCCTTTTTCAATTACGGTTAGTTCATCTGACATTCTTGAACTGAGGGAAACCTTGAGCTAAAATAAAAAGTTGGTCCAGTGTGGTCTTTAAAAAAAGCACAACCCTCGCAAGATCTCAACGGTGAGCTACACGGTTTGGAAACCTTGCAGCTGCAGCTTTGGGACATTAAAGCTGAAGGCTGGATTGAGGAAAACAAATATCAAATGTTATGTAAGGTTATTTACGGTAGGTAATTCAGTACTGACTTCCATGGTGAGGGAGAAAAATAGGCACACTGTTCAAAGACTTATCTGTGGGAACTCCCTAACTTCCAGAAAGAGTAATTTAAATACATATTAATTAAGACTAGCCTGTTTGGTGGAGATACTGCTATCACAAATAAAAAAATCTCTACTAAATAACTTGCAGACCTCCTTCACATCTGCACAAAATATTAATTAATCCACATCATCAAACCTGGAAAAATGTATTTTGAGCAGGCTCGTACAGCGCTACAGAGGGCTACCTGCAGCGCAAAGGCCAGCTCGATTGCACGCATGATGGAGACTCGTGCGCTGCCGACATTCCCACGCACTAGCCAGTGCCTGGGAAGCAGTTTTCCTGTGGAGCTCCTGGTGCCCATCCCGGCTCCCCCACGTGCCCTGCGAGTTCAACCTGCTCTTGTAAGCAAGGACACGGAGATTGGAGATAGACGCTCTGATGCTGAGACATCCAGACTTCAAAGGGCTGAGCTGTCCACTCCCCTGTATTTCTTTTTTCCGTAAATATACTTAACAGTCACCCCTATTTTACACTCATGCGGGTAAGAGCGAGCGAGTGTTTAAATATTACAGAGTTTTCTGTTTACAGCAAGGCACCTCTGCGCTGGGAACTGGCACCTGAAGGTCGGAACCCTGCCAGAACCGGAGCCAAGCGGAGAGCGGGGGGTAAGCAGGCAGCACGCCAGCTAACCCAAGGCCATCTGACATCAGCATCAGACCACCACCTTCACAGGGAGCAACTCCAGCGCCGGGATTTGAAGAAAAATAACAAAGGGAGAAAAATTTAAAAAATACATTCTCTTATTTGATACTACTGCTTTATAGTAATGCTGTAACACTTAATGCTGCTGCGAGCATGTCCATTTATCTAAATCCACTCACCCAACATCTCCCCCCCTTTTTCTTTAAAAAAAAATAAAAATCAAAACCCAGCAACTTATGTTGTTGTTGCTAGATCACGAGTGATGAAAGTACACGCATCCCTACTTGTGGGTGGCTTGAAAATTCAGCACAGGAAGGATGCACCCCTGTTTCTAAGACTATACTTACATATTATTCTATCTGTTTTGCTTCTTTCTTTGTTCTTCTGGTATTTGACAGAGGGCTTTATATGATTAAGTATACCACCAAATGCCCTGACAATCAATATAAAGTTTTAGTAAGGTCCTTACATAAATAAATTGTAGAATGAAATTATATTGAAACTAATTCAGTGAAAAAGCAAAATAATAATCTTCTAAATAAAAAAAAAAAAGATGACACTGCAGTTAAATTGTGAACCATTTTAAAAATAGCTTAATACTTCGTTTTGGACTCCCAGAACTTCCACGAAGCGCCTCATTAGAATACATTTTTTTCATGTCTCCTTTTTATATAATAAGGGGGGTAGGGGGGAGGAAAGAGGCCACTTCATCTCATGCACCATCAGCTTTTTCCTAACATAGAGGAAATCTTATCAGCCATAAGGACACAACCAGACCAGCTGTCATATATACAAGGAGTCTTTTGCGTAAGGAAAAATTGCTGGGGAAACAACAACAACAACAAAAAAAAGCCAGGGTATCCATCTGCTAGAACTCGCCCGAGAGGATGACAGATGAAGCTGCTGAACTCTACAAATGAGGTACTTCCGAAACATACCCTTCAATCCACTAGCAGATACCGGACTTGGAGGAATTGCTCGGCTCCACAGCACTGATTCGGCACCGGCAAGCTGAGAAATGGGAGCCGAACTCAACCGCAAGAACCTGGGAGCGAAAGTCGACAGACAGCAAAGCAGCGGAGGCGGCGGCGGTGCAGAGGTAACGAAGCCAGCACGGACAAACCACCCAGAGCCTTGGCTCACTGCTCGTATCAATCACCGCAGATTATCTAGTTCCAGACTTTGGGGGGGACTTGCTTGTTTCTGGTTTTGGGGTGTTTTTTTGGCTGGTTGGGGGTGTGGGTTTTTTCTAGCTTTTGTTTTGTATTCCTGTTTTCTTAAACATCAAAGCTTGAACTGGACTTAGAAATGTAAAAAAAAACAGTTCTGGTCATTTCTAACTACGGAAAAATACAAACACTAAATGGACGATTAAAGGATATTATGCTTCTCTTTGTAAATCTTGTTGTTGACACATCAGAGCTTATGAAAATTACCAGAATATTAGAAAGGGTTCATAAAATACTCGTAAAACTGACTCAGCTACAGTCTGTTTTAAAATAGCTTGCAGGAACATGCGCTGTAGATTAGGAAATTCACCTGTAAAAACAGCTTTGATGAAGTATCTGCATTACTGCATGCAATAGTTCACAGGCACAAACAATAAGTAAATGATGGATTATACTGGTAAAGTTACGTAATCACCAGTTTGTGCTTTAAAAACATGTTTCAGAAATATTAGGGACTACATGACATTGGAATCAAGATGTTCTAGAAGAAAGAAAACCCCAAACCTGCAGAAATCGGGAATTGTGGATTCTGAATGAATTGCAAATCCAAAACGAGCTCACAACCCACATATTCTGCTTGTATTCAACAGCATACAATATACTCTACTTTTAATACTGCATGTGCTGCGAAGATATTTCTTATATATTTATATGTCTACTACTGAAACCATATTGCAACTTGTATTTTTGCTACTGGAACCGTACCTGAGTTTTCCAACTTATCTTTAAACTCTCACTACTTTCGTAACAAATCTATGTCCTCATCTGTTAAAGAAAGGGATCTCTCCACTAAATATGAAACTGGGTTTTTAACTGATGTTATTGAAACGTCTGTATTTTCTAAATGCTTTTCCACGTATTTATTCTGCCTATTCAGTGCATTAAGATTACTGTAGTTTAGCACACACCAAACACCAGAACTATGTACATAAATCAAAGCTCTGCCGGATAGGAGACTCGCTTCTTTTAAGAACAAACCATACATATTTTTATATATAAACAGATGACTGCTTATTTACCAGTGCATAAAAAAAAGCTGTATCAATGGCTTTTGGGGTAAAAACCCACTATAAATACACTTTGGTGTAAAAAAAAAAACAAAAAAAAACCACCCAACAAAAACACCCATAACACATTTTTGCTTGTATCTCTTCATGACAGCTTATATGATGTGTGCTTTAAAAAACATAGATAACTACTTTTTCTATTTTTCCTGGCCCTCTCTTTCTTGCTCTTCTAAAATAGAAACTTAATAAGCGAGCCCATCCGCATGTTAAAAGTTATATTGAGCGGAGAGATTAAGAACAAAACCCTCTACTTTCTGAATTGTATTATACCATGTTTTTTTGTCCAGCAAACACAAGCAACCTTTATCCAGGCAGTAAATGTCTGTAACAGGAGGGCGTTTTACACGATGGCCAGAATCTTGCAAAAATAAAGGAAGCAAACAGGCAGAGAGCACCCCATAATCAAGAGGCGACAAGCTGAGCAGAGAAAATGCCTTGCGATTTTAGACTTTGCTAAGTGTTGCGTGAGGGGAGGAGAAACCTTTTGAATTCTTTTTGGAAAATAACTTCAACGTGCAATTTGGTACCAAAAGCACAAAACAAATTTCATCTAGTTAAACACCGGATGGGAAACTGTGATGCTTGGAGGAACCATCATTACATACAGTTTGAATTAGGGAATCAAAAGAATTTCTGCAACAGGGTAAAGATACCAATAAATGAGAACGTTAGAAACAATAGTCACAAGCAAAAATACCGTGGAAGCAAGCATTCATTCCTTTTGCAGTGTCACGAAACAAAGGACGTGAAGTACATTGTTTTACACACGAGATAAGAAAGGTTACGTAACGACATAAGCCAAATCCAAAGCTATAATCTCCAGCCTTCCTTCTCAATCTAAACTGTTTGACTAGTTTTTGACTGGACTCCCACGTTTTCTCTCACGGGCTTACATAATTACTACTCATGACCACTATAATTTATAGCTGTAAAAGCTTATCTCAAGACAGAGTTAAGGCTGAGAGCGCCTAGGCAATTAAGTACAAAACATTACAGAGATATTAGAATTATTTCAAACAATGGTGCAATCTGTGGGTTGTTGCTATCTAACAGCAAAGGGGAAGCTTATCCAAGTCTTCGGCCGTTTATGCTTCTTGATGCAAAGCCGGAAAAACCCTGGCTTTGTGTCACGAGAGAAGGAAAACAAAAATCTATCAAAAAGAAAACGATTCCGGTGCCAATCATAACAGAAAAACGTACTCTGAATGATTTGCATCAGGAATTCATTACTGACATCCACACATTTATGCTACTGATCCATAAATGTTCTGTACAGCTTTTCTGTACAGAAACAGCTTTTAAGTTTTAAAGTAGCCAATACACAAACATGTAATCTTCACCCTTCTCTCCTCACCTAAGATAAGGAAATGTGATAAGAGTTAGTACGGACATCTGCAGGGCCGTATCCATCTCAAACTAACCTTCAACTGACAGTTGTTCCTCAAGCATGTAAGCATCAAAGATATCTTCTTCTGGTGGAAAGCTTTTTTAAAATGCAGAATGTAAGCAGCTATTTATAACTACATGCATCACCTCTGAGCTCTAACTTACTATTCCCTAAATAGAAAAATTACATAAAAATTATTCTTATTTGAAGAAAAAAGTCAAGATGAAAAATTTGGAGAGGATACGGCTTGTTATTAAATTATTATAAAGACTGGTTCAGTATGTAAATCTCTGATATGAACCTAAAAGTCAAAAAAATACTTTGATAATTTGAAATACGTGCTATGCGAGAAGAATTGATTGCAACTATGTTCAGTTTTAAATAACTACGATCTGTCCCAACCCCTACCCCTTTCTTGCACACATACACAGAACCCAAGTTGCAAACAGATTCCCAGAAGGGACACGGCCAAGTTAAACACTTGTTGTGAAGAAGAGCAGTGTTTTGGAACACATTTCACACAACAGTTGATACCAGCACTACCCACATATTCAGATAACACTTTATTTACGTAAAACTCAAGAGGATTGTTGTTTGCTAGAGAAAACTTGCCGTTGTATCTGGTGTGGGACAACAGGCCAGAGCATAAGCTGAATTTGAAAACAAAACAAGTTCTTACCCTCATGCCAAGTACCAAAAAGCCAATCTCTTCCATCAGCGGGTACTTGCTGACCTGCTGCTGTATCTTCTCTGCTGAAGCATACGGATCATAACTTTTCTGACCTATTTTTACATCCATTATGCAAGGCTTATTAAACTTACGGGTCACATCTTCCAGTTTTAGATATGTATCTGTTAAAAAGACAAAACTTTCATAAACAGTGGGTCAAAGCAAAATAATTATATAGTTTCTGCTGAGCTTCTGCAGAGGAAGGAGAACAGTTTAAGGCTTAACATCACATTAGTTCTTTAAGAGTCAAATTTGTCTCTGAACACAGACTAAATCATGGTCATTGACACCCACAAATTCTGTTGGCATTAAATTCTAAATGCCTTATTGTTTAGAAAATTGTACACAATTAAAGTGTGCTAACCTAGCACTCAAATTCAAATTATTGCCCAGTTGAAACTCATGAGTAGCTTTTATTAAGCCATTAACATACTTCGAATAGCATTAATAAGCACATACAAATGCAGGTTAATACATGGCTGGTTTTGGAACGGAGAGGGTGGTTTTTTTCTCTGCGTGAAAGGGCTAGAATTAAAATGGCAATTTTTCTTTGTGTCATTTCAAAAATTAAATTAACTGTGTTGGTTTTGCGTTGGTTTCAGAGTCCTGCCCTACAGGGGCCTAAATGTATCTCATTTTTCTTCATTTTATCCCGTCCGTACTCATTTCTCATGGCACATCTTTTGGTGAAAACACTCCTCAAATCCCAGGCTGCCTTTCATCCATGTCCAAAAGTCCCTTTGGGAAGGTACGTGGACCAAAAAAGCCCAAGCCTTGGAGTGCCTGAAGATTTAAAGGACTGTCAAAAACCCGGTCAAACTGGTTTATGCTTTCCTCCAGTGCCGGTAAGAGACTGTTACCAACGTGATCTAGAGCACCGATTGTCAGAACACAACAAGACAAACTTCAGTAACTGCTTGACTCGCAGACAGCTCCGCTTGGAGGAAGCTCACACGGATCTGCAGCCCCTGCCAGGGCAGGATACGCACCAAGACAACAAGTGGCACTAACATACGTCTCGTCCTTCACACAGCTGCTGCAAACCCACCTGTTACCAGTCACAAACTTCACATTAAAGTTTGCTTTGTTTTCAAGTACAGCCTTACTCTCTAAGTGGATTTCTTTGGCTTTGATGCAATCCCAATACACAAAAACATTGTATTATTCCCCGTTCCTGCAGCGTGATCTAAATGGGATTGCCAAAGAAAGCAAAACCAGTTCAAGGTTAAAGAGAGAAGAGGGACAGAGTGCCTTGTTTTGATAACTGTACAGACAGGTAACTAAACCAGTTGGAGGCAAGATAAAGGGAACAAGCCATGTTCCATTTCCACTTCATAAGTAGAAACACTTCCTTAAGGATAAGAAATGAGAAGGACTGTTATTACTTTGTAAGTCCTACTTAGAGCTTCAGTTTTCACACCATCACGACTGAATGTCCCAATTCCCCAAAGTACGTATGTATCAATCAGAAATAGGTTTGATTTAATCCTTAGATGCCTGCTTTATGAATAAATGGGACTAAGCATATTGTTAAGGTAAAGTCATGCTCAGGAAAGCATGTCAAACCAACAAACTATTTTAAAAAAAAACAAACCAGCCAATCTTCTCCCAACTCACTGTTGCAGCTTAGAGTACTTTTCAATGTCCTTTGGGCTACAAAATCAATCCAGCTACAGCAAAA